ACTCCCTTCACATGTGGCCCCCAGGCACGGACACTAGCACTCCCTTCACATGTGGCCCCCAGGCACGGACACTAGCACTCCCTTCACATGTGGCCCCCAGGCACGGACACTAGCACTCCCTTCACATGTGGCCCCAGGCACGGACACTAGCACTCCCTTCATGTGGCCCCAGGCACGGACACTAGCACTCCCACATGTGGCCCCAGGCACGGACACTAGCACTCCCTTCACAAGTGGCCCCCAGGCACGGACACTAGCACTCCCTTCACATGTGGCCCCCAGGCACGGACACTAGTGGCCCCCAGGCACGGACACTAGCACTCCCTTCACATGTGGCCCCCAGGCACGGACACTAGCACTCCCTTCACATGTGGCCCCCAGGCACGGACACTAGCACTCCCTTCACATGTGGCCCCCAGGCACGGACACTAGCACTCCCTTCACATGTGGCCCCCAGGCACGGACACGCACTCCCTTCACATGTGGCCCCCAGGCACGGACACGCACTCCCTTCACATGTGGCCCCCAGGCACGGACACGCACTCCCTTCACATGTGGCCCCCAGGCACGGACACTAGCACTCCCTTCACAGGTTATAATGGTATAAAGAAAACTCTGATATCCTCAATACGTTTTATTGACGAAATTTTTAAATATTTTTCTTATTAAATGTCAGCTTTACAAATTAAAATTTATTTGAGCAAAATCATGTTACATGTTTACTTTCCAATTTCAATCCATCCCTTTACACCCAAGAAGCAAATTAACGATCAGTTCAATCTTTGTCTTGAGGCAAAGCTCAACGCTTTAAACCATATTGATACTCTCTCCAAAGAACATTCTTTCTCTCAAACTATATACACAGATGGTTCCCTACACCGCCCCACGGGAGCAGCTGGAATTGCAGCTGTCCTGACAATGGGTGATGGCGTATATTTTGGATGATGGAGCTGAGGGCTGATCTGCTTGATACCTGCTTGAAAAGCATTTCATCGAAACGTTCAAAATACTGAACAATTTGGGGGATGTTGATCCGAACAACTTCTTCAAAAGGTCAGATATAACGCAGACAAGGAGTAACGGTTTCAAGCTCAACAAGCACAGTGTAGGGCTGAAAACAGGAGATGCTTTTTCACCCACAGGGTTATAAGCCCAAGGAAGCGCCTTCCCGCCGAGCCGTAAATGCCAAAACTCTTTTGACCTTTAAAGTCTAGCTTGAAAAAAATCACGAGGACAAATGGAAGGACTTTTGACAAGCCGCCGCCTTCCTGTCCTCATCGAGGCCACTGGAGTGTTAGTGGCCCTCAGACAAATTCAGATAAATTTTGAGCGGGGTATTCATATAAACAATTGGGCCTCTGCTATTCACACCCAATTATTTACCTCACTTATTTGCACTTAAATGTGTACAAGTCTTCAAACGTGACACATTAATTGTAAGTTACTAAGATAAGATGTTTATTCAGGTAACGGTACATACATTTAAGATGAGTTACAAACATAATGTTGGCTTTATAGATAGAACAAGTATATACAATACCTGAAGCCGCTAATACGCACAGCGTTTCCGGCAAAATTCTGATTTTGATTCGGATAATTCTTTATCATCCATGAAATGAGTCATTTTCTGTGGGTTTCATCTCATGTTGGCCTCCGAATGCATGATAGAGCTAATGAGTTAGCTAAAGAATCTGCCTTCAAAGGAGTTGACCTTGGATTGCTTATGAGCAGTCTGAGAACAATAATACACAAAGAACTTCTCAAGACCTTGTACTGTATACCTAAGACAAAGTGAAATCTACACTAGTAACTCCTCCTAACAAGCAAGAAGAGCCACACATCTATGGATCATCCAATAAAATCAGCAGACTCGTAGATGTTACTTCTGCTCGGTTAAGACTCCTGTCCTCTTAAAAAGAACGTCGCTTTTGGCCGTTTGCCCGTACGGCCGAATATGGACGTAATTTGAAAATGAAAAAAAAATTAAAATAAATTTGGGATTTTTTTTTAACAACAGTAAGTTAAGGGTCCTCTGATAGGTTAGGTGGGCAGGAAATTCTCATAAAGTTTCAAAACGGTATGAAAAACGATAATGAAAAGTTTCCTCTTCTAAGCTGGCCGAGTAAGCCGGACGACTCAAACAGAAAACGGAACAGTACGTCACTTTTGTGAGTCGATTTCATTTCAAATTACGTCCAAATTTGGCCATAGTGCGCATACGGGCCAAAAGTGACGTTATTTTTAAGAGGACGGGTTGAAGACTCAGCTATAAGTATCTCTATGAATTTGCTGTACCTGCTGCTGTAGACCTGACCAAATGTAAACTGTGTGAGCTAAATTATTTGCACACCCCGTCACTACGTGATGGAGTGCGATAATTTAATTAATTTAATTCATTGTGTCGGGGGACAGGCAGCAAGAGTGTTTATACACATTAGGTTTATATCGAGGTCCCTCCCCCCCCCCAGGTCGAATTACAGTACCTCCCCAGGATGCAACCCCTCAACAAGCTAACTCTCTGAGTACCTGCTTGCTGCCTACTAGGTACCTACCAGGTAAACATGGCAGTAGATGATAGGAAATGCGCTCAACCATTCCTGCTCCGCCCGGGATTCGAACCAGGAATTCTCGGTTGTGAGTCGAGAACGAACCCGACTACCACTGGGACCCTCAGATCAGATCTGAGGGATCTCAGGGAGGTAGTCGTACTCTGGAGGTAATCACTTCAAAACCATTATGTAATTAGTGCTATTACCCACTCCCTATTCATGGTTAGGTTCGGTTAAGGTTACGTTAGGTTAGGTTTCATTATGCTTGGCTACATTAATACGGTGTATTGTTCTCAAACATGTGAAGTACGAAATTCGAAAACTTTTTGAGCACCCCCTAGAATTTAATGTACTTGGAAGTTCAGAAACCCAAATTCTTCAGTTTGTTTCTAAGAAAACGAGTTAAGCTTAGACTTTTTATATTATAAAACAACGTATTTATAATACAATAAAGTTATAACTTGAGACTTGTCTCTACTTAGGACAAAGATTTACTTGTCAGTTTAAAAGTAGACTATTACTATTCAAAAGCATATTCCGGTAGAATATGTTTTCAGAACATCGCAATTATCTAGATAACTATCCAGTTGGTGTGAAAATGGGTTTGGTGTCACGGAGGAATCACTCTACCCTGAGCCCGGGCTCCGATAAAATACATCAATCTTTAGTTTTTGTGGTCCACTTTTGCGATTACCAATTTGTCTGTTAAATTGAAGACATGCATAAAAAATTAATTCAAAAGTATCTACTACCTTCGGGGAGCCGGTCGGCCGAGCGGACAGCACGCTGGGCATGTGATCCTGTGGTCCCGGGTACGATCCCGGGCGCCGGCGAGAAACAATGGGCAGAGTTTCTTTCACCCTATGCCCCTGTTACCTAGCAGTAAAATAGGTACCTGGGTGTTAGTCAGCTGTCACGGGCTGCTTCCTGGGGGTGGAGGCCTG